ACCACATTCTCCTCTGGAAGAAGCCAATGCTCGACATCATTTTCATCGAAATCTGGTGCGACCACAAACTGGCTCAAGTAGTTCCTCAGCAGACGAGTAACAGCAGGGACATCACGAAGTTCCATTTTTCTGAACCCAGGAGTGGCAGGTGAATCTGGTAGCTTATAAAGTTTTATGGTTCGGCTCATAGTCATCCTAGCACCAAGCCTTGAAAACCCAACATCAATAAGCTTCTTTGGGTTCAAAGACCCAATTAAGTCACGTCAACATTTTATGTTGTTTTTTTATAGATATAATAAGATAAAAATGAATAGTAATATAAAATGTTGACGTGGCTTAACTGTGACCACACAAACAAGAGAGCATGAGGAGGGCAGACAATCCTTGTTTTATGGATTTGTTTTTTGTCGGACGCCACTATAACACTACGGTCTAGTCGTCCTCACCTGTAAGCAAAAGGTCTCGTGTGTCAACTTACATGAATGACGAGCTTGATGCCTAATTGGGTGCCTTAACCCAAATCCTTCTCCAGTAGAATGTTAGGAATTTGTTATCATTCGTGCCTCGGGATGACTTTTAGAGAGTAAAGAGTGTTTTACTTGTACCCGAGATTCTGGGCTCGATTTCTTCTCCCAGCCATTGCGTGCCATCATGCTGCGGGAAAGGTGAATGAAATGTAGAAACATGTTCAAAATATAAACTCATAGCTCTTTTGGATGTGCTTTTAAAATAACTGAAAACATTTTTGATGAAAATGTTTTTGGAACCAATCCTTAGTAAAAATGAAGATAAATCCTGGAAAAACACTTAAAGTACCTCCTTGAAAAAACACATAATTGATGTTTTTTGCAAAAAGTACTTAAAGTGTCTTTGGAACCCAAAAATATTTTCTTTAAAAGCGTTTTCAGTCATTTTAAAAGCACATCCAAATGAGTCATCCATCTTGCTCCAAAATAACCATTTCAACTGCAAACACCAAACAATGTTTACTGTATAAGCATTTGCTTACAGGTAAGATACCCATAACATTTAGGTCTCTAAAATGTTCAAGATATAAACTCAGAGCTCATTTGGATGAGTTGCGTATGAGAGGAGATACTGTCAGGCTTTTGATATCACAAGTTTTACTTAAAGGGCTGCAGGTAAGGTAGCTTTTGGCTAAATTATTAGATGGACAAGGATTATCTGCCATTTACTTCCGATGCCCTACCCGTGCCCTCTTGTTTTGTGTGGTTACGATTAAGCCACGTCAACATTTTATATTATTTTTTTATATATATAATAAGCTAAAAATAAATAGTAATATAAAATATTGACGTGGCTTAACCGTGATCATACAAACAGGAGGGCACGAGGAGGACACCGGAAGTGGAGGGTAGACAATCCTTGTTTTGTGGATTTGTTTTTTGTCGAACGCCACTATAGCACTACAGTCTAGTCATCCTCACCTGTAAACAAAAGGTCTCGTGTGTCAACTTACATGAATGACGAGCTTGATGCCTAATTGGGTGCCTTAACCCAAATCCTTCTCAAGTAGAATGTTAGGAATTTGTTATCATTCGTGCCTCGGGATGGCTTTTAGAGAGTGAAGAGTGTTTTACTCGTACCCGAGATCCTGGGCTCGATTTCTTCTCCCTGCCATCGCGTGCCATCACGCTGCGAGGAAGGATGAATGAAATGCATAAACATGTTCAAGATATAAACATGTTCAAGATATAAACTCAGAGCTCGTTTGGATGTGCTTTTAAAATAACTGAAACCATTTTTTATGAAAATGTTTTTGGAATCAATTTTGGTAAAAATACAAGTAAATCCTGGAAAAACAATTAAAGTTCTTCCTGGAAGAATTATATAATTGATGTTTTTTGCAAAAAACACTTAAAGTGCGTTTGAAACCTAAAAATATTTTCTTTAAAAACGTTTTCAGTCATTTTAAAAGCACATCCAAACGAGTCTTCCATCTTGCTCTAAAATAACCATTTCAACTGCAAACACCAAACAGTGTTTACTGTATAAGCATTTGCTTACAGGTAAGATACCCATAACATTTAGGTCTCTAAAATGCATTGCAAAATCTCATATTCTTTGATGATAGTCCAAAGGAGCAAAGGCAAATGAAAGACAACAGCTAACCACGAAAAAAGGACGGAAAATAAGAAACAGGAATGATTTGTCAAGTTCGAAGCGCAAAAACCAAGACCGGAAAAATTACAAGAGTACAAGTCCAAGCTCCGAGGGTTTCAACGCGTTCCTCATCCGGTAGTTGTAGAGATAGTAGTGAAGTTGCCCATCGCCAGGTCCAAATTTCAGCTCCTTCAAAAACGACTCATTCTGCATGACGTCAAGTGCATTGAAAACATCGAAATCCTTCTGTTTTGCAACAATGAGTGCATCGTTCATCAGCTGAAGCAATGGAGTCTTAGTGGTGACGTTATAATAGGAGTATGCAGCCTTCAAGATTGAGTACGTCTGATTGCCAAGGATAGACGAAGGAAGAGTGTAGAAGCTGCAGAAGTCAGTGATGTCATGAGTCTCTGGGCTCTCAACCAAGTAACTGTCCACCACATTCTCCTCCGGAAGAAGCCAATGCTCGACATCATTTTCATCGAAATCTGGTGCGACCACAAACTGGCTCAAGTAGTTCCTCAGCAGACGAGTAACAGCAGGGACATCACGAAGTTCCATTTTTCTGAACCCAGGAGTGGCAGGTGAATCTGGTAGCTTATAAAGTTTTATGGTTCGGCTCATAGTCATCCTAGCACCAAGCCTTGAAAACCCAACATCAATAAGCTTCTTTGGGTTCAAAGACCTATGCCAGTACTGGCAAGTTGTTATAGGAGTTGGAAGAACCACTCCAGCAGTGTAAGCTGCTTGCCATATGTTCTCCAAATGAACCCTCCTTGTCACCTCCTTGATCATAACCGGTGCAAGTCTTTTCGACCTCAGCTTCTTATGCACGCATAAGAAATTAATCTCAGCCATTTTCACAACCGCATCACGGACCCGGATTCTAGCAGGAACACCAGTAATGAAAGCAACCAGCTTCTTATTAGTTTTTGCACGAACCCCGATATGCCAGCTCTTATAGTAACCAGGTGGGTGCAAAGCCCACCTAAGAAACTCCTTCGAGTAGTTGAACCTAAACATGTTCTCATCATCCTCGACATAATTGTTCTTCAGCAGATTGTAGACCTCAGTGCAGGTATCTTCCGAGTCCAGATCACACGTGGTCCATTCATATGGAGTTGGCAGATTGTACGGCACTTGTTTGACCTCAGACAGAGGGGTAGGGGGCTCAATCGGGCCCTCAGGCAAACTCACATCCCCAAGATCCTTAAACTGCCCAACGGGTTGAGTCTCCCAAAATGTGTGCTTTTTTCCAACCGACATCGAATCTTGGAACTTTCGGACTATGGTTTCCAATGAGCTATCATCCTTAACAGCTTGGTTTGCATCAGAATCATGATCTGCCTCCTTAGGAGACCCAGGTGGGGAATTGTTATCACTCATTGCAACTACTTAATCGAATCGATTCCTAATCGAAAATCTTTGCTATCTGAATTTAAAAAACAACAGATTCAAATCAAGACCAAGCAAAACAAACACAACCCATCAAAGAATCCGGGAAAATTTACCATATCAACATTTCAAAAATAGCAAATTTAACAGAAAACTCCCCAAGATTTATCTTTACTAATCCAATTCCTACGTTAAAACTGACCCAAAACTGTAAAAATCCATACAAACAAGTATTGATCATCTCAGAGCACAATTCAGCAGTAAGCTAACAGATCTGTGAAATTTAACGCGACGAGCAAGAAACACACTCACAGTTTTAGTCGTCGGGGAGCGGGATGCCGTTAGATTGCTACGATTACGGCTGAACAGATCTTGATTTCGATTAGGGTTCGTCGAAAAGGAATGAGAATCGCTAGGGTTTTTGGTGGAAGACAGCGGCTTTGAAGGTGCCGCTGGGGTTGGGAGAATACGAGGAGTGCGTGTGTTGTTGTATGGTTAACGCAACATATTAAACAAACGAGGGACTGCAGCATTTTATGATTTTCATCGATTACATTTTTATTTTTGTTAATCAACTTTTTTTTGTCACTAATCATTTTGTTCTTTGTTACATTCGAGGGATTGAACCCTTGTTCCATCCTAAATCCTAAACATATAATTAAATGGTTAGGATCCATGGACGTATATTTTGACATATTTTTTTGTGGTTTTTATTGTAACTTTTATTAAAGATCTAAACCGTTTATATTTCAGTTTATATCATCATTGTAGAAAATTAGACAATTTAAAGCATTTAGGACGTTCATTTGTTATAAAGAAAATAGACGAATATAGTTCTACAAATAAACACTTCAAATGACTACCCTTGAATCCAATGGTTATACGATTTTGGATCTGGGTGAATTTTGATAGAGATGATATTTAAGAGAAAACCTAAAATATAGACGGTTTAATCAATAAAATACATAATAGAGTGGGCTTAACAAAAATGTATCAAAATGTGTGTCAAAAAGAGTGGGCTTAACAAATCTATTTTTGGTTTATATCGCAATTGCACTGTCACGTAGCATTATCAATTTGTCTATTGAAATATGAATAAATAAATGAATATGTGATATAACTTAAAGACATGATAGTCACGTTGAAAAGTTATTATAATTATTTCGAGTTAATATAGATAAAAATTATATTTCCCTTGACATGATTTTGATTTTTTTCATGTCAGATGTAAAAGGTATTTGAAATTTTGATTATAATTAGTTATCACGTGATAAGAAAGAGAGAGAAATGCAGGTTGCAACTAGGATAATGAAGTTTGATTGAGGGAGCTACATAAAATGTTACCAAACCTCGGCCTCGATCTCATGTGGGCCACTACCGAACCAAATATTGGGCCCAGGGCCCATATCACACACGAAAGCCCATTAACATGTGTTTTTCATATCCGGCCCAGTTATGATTTGCGCCAAACCGGTTAGTCTGTGTTTGATTTCCGCTCCACCTAAAGCCATAGCCGAACACTCTGAAGAAAGCTCAGAGATCTTCACCAAGCTCTGCTGAACTTCCCGCCTTCCGCAACCAAATCAACCACCATGTGCGGCGATGCAACGAACTGGGACGAAGAAGCATACAGAGAATCCATATTAAAGGAGCGAGAGATCCAAACCCGAACAGTTTTCCGAACCGTTTGGGCTCCGTCGCTTAACCCTAACCCGGACACCGTCGTCGTCGCCTCCAGCGACGGATCGGTTTCCTCCTACTCCATCCCCTCCCTTATCTCCAAGCTCGTAGGTTCCTCATTTTTCAACCTCCTCCTAATTTTGTTTTTAATTTTTAATTAATTTTCGTAATTTTAATTTTATTTATTTTGGTTGCAGCCACTGGGTTTCAGCAATGTGAAATCTCCAAAGTAATTATTTCCAGGCCTTTACATTGTTTGTGAATATATGACGTCGTATTGACTGTTGATAGCAGCTGATTTTTGGTTTATTTACTTGTGAATTTGAATAGTGTTTGTAGGTCGTTAATGGCGGAACCTACTTGCTTCCTTCAAGCTCATGAAGGACCTGCTTATGATGTTAAGTTTTACGGAAATGGCGAAGATTCTGTATTGTTGAGGTTCGATTATATGTTCATGCTAAATTTATTGACTAGAAAGAACTATTTTGTTTTAGTAATTTTTTAGTTTCACCATGTTTACACCGTTTGGTTTTCTCGGATTTTTTACATGTAGTTGCGGTGATGATGGACGGATTCAAGGATGGAGGTGGAAGGATTGGGAGGAATCGGATGTGCCTATTCATTTGCAAGGTGACTTCGGTTTTTGACAGCTTAAATTACTGTTGTTTTGGCGAGTGGAAATCGAATGTGATTCTAACTCTATGGATTTACATTTCTTCCTGTTTATGTAGGAAAGCATGTGAAGCCCATAATTGACCTTGTGAACCCCCAACATAAGTAAGTAACCGAAAAGAAAAACTGCCCGAGGGCAACTTTTTTCGTTCCCCTGAATGTCTTAATATTGATTCGAACATCGGTTATGATAAGTCCCCAGCATTAATTCCTTTGACATTTCTTGTAATTACTGTTGTCCTTTTAGAGGTCCATGGGGGGCTCTATCTCCAATCCCAGAAAACAATGCTCTTGCTGTTTACAACGAGGTATGCAGGTTTTTCTAGTCCTACTAGTCCTATGCGTCTTTATATCTTATTTTCCATTTTAATTATTTAATGAGCTTAGAAAGTAGTATGTTTTCAAACGAATGTGTTTTACATCTCTTTGACAACGATAGGGGGGATGCATTTTTTCTGCTGCTGGTGATTCTTGCGTCTATTGCTGGGATGTGGTATGTATTTTTTCAAGGTGAATCTTTCAATCGTGTTATGAAGCGTCTGTTGGGAGACATTTTTACATATTACATTGTTCTTGATATAATTTTCTAGCCGCACTGATCCGAGCATGATTTGTATCTGAAATGTTTCAGGAAAGAGGTCAAGTCAAAATGACTTTTAAGGGGCATTCAGATTACTTGCATTCTGTAGTTGCTCGGAACTCTACCAATCAGGTTAGGTCATATTCTTCTTTATCTTGAGGTTAATCATTCCTGGCACTTCTCTTTGGAAACAACCACCCCTTTTAGTTCATTTGAAGTGACGAGTATCAGAATTACAATTACAGTAGTAGCACTGTGCACTGAGGTACCAGACAAATGTTATTTTTAATGTGATCTTTTGATCTTTTCCGATATTCAGATCATAACTGGTTCAGAGGATGGGACAGCACGGATATGGGGTAAAAACCTAGTATTTTTCAATTTTGAAGGATTGTGGCAGAAAGTTGTTAAGAATTTACTGCCTTTAAAGTTGGTATGTTTTTGTATAAAGTCACATGGACTTGTTCTTAGAAGCATGTGCTTATGGTTTCACCCAGATTGCAAAAGTGGAAAGTGCGTTCAAGTATATGAGCCAGCCAAGGGTATTAAGTTGAAAGGATTTTTTTCATGCGTCAGTTGCATTGCTCTTGATGCAAGTGAAAGCTGGTTGGTAAGCAATTATGTGATGAGAATGTAGTTGATTTAGTGTTCTAAACTAATTCTCTGTTGAAGTTGCTTGCTGCTATAACGTACTAAGTTTTTTTTTTCTTCCATAGGCTTGCGGTAGTGGTCAGAGTTTATCAGTTTGGAACCTTCCTGCTTCTGAATGCATTTCAAGGGTTTCAACTTGTGCATCCGTACAGGATGTAGTATTCGATGAAAATCAAGTGAGCTCCCACCGCAGCCCTCTATTAGTTAATTTAGTTAGTACTGTTGGCATCCAGTGCTATTAACAAAAAGGGTTAGTGAATTTTCTAATGGTGCCATATCCCATATTTAAGTTCCAATAGATGTGAGCGGTAACTCTGGTTGTTTTCATTTCATAAGGATATTATACCAAATTTCTTAACAGGATAAGTTGAATTGGTAAGATATCAACGAGTGAGCAATGTTTTCTCTTTAGATTATTAGATGATGATACAGTGATACTGTTACTAAATCTTCAATGCCAACAAACGGGGCTGGAATTAAATTGTTTAAATAGTTATAGTGATCGGGAGCAATAAGTATAAGAATACGTTGTGCCTGGGTGGTTGCCTGTTATAACTTCTAAAGAAATGCCTAGTTTGTAGTTAGGAGGCACAAAGGAAAACCAATATCCCAAAGCTCACTGTTGCTTCTCCTTTCCAGGTATTAGCAGTTGGAGCAGAACCTCTACTTTCCCGTTTTGACATAAATGGGGCGATTCTTTCACAAATGCAATGTGCTCCTCAGTCTGCCTTTTCCGTCTCATTACACCCATCTGGGGTATGTTTACTTGATGTCTCTTTCGCTTTGATATCTTTAAATAACTTTTATTTAAGCGTTTTCCGTCTTAAATGTTGGTCTTACCAGCATTATCCTTGGATTGAAGATTATGTATCTCAAAGTAGGTTGAGTGACACAAGTAATCAAAACCATCTGGCTTTTCGAATCCTTTTGTATAGCTTTTTTCCTCGACTCATTCCTATAAATAATAGGTGTGGCTAGCATAAACCTTAAATATTCTTTTTTAGCCGCCATGGTCACTAGAGTAAGGCTGCGAACGATAGAAGTTCTCCTCCGAACCTCGCAAAGCGGGGAGCTTTGTTGGCTGGTCGCCCATGGTCACTGGAATGAAACTTTTAACTTCATTACTTAGCCAAACTCTTTTTCAGTTCTCACGTCATTGAACCGTTGTTTTGTTCAGGTTACCGCAGTAGGAGGTTACGGTGGTCTTGTGGATGTTATTTCGCAGTTCGGAAGCCACTTGTGCACATTCGGCTGCCGATGCGTTTAGGAAGATTTCACTTGCCTTCTGCTGTTTTAAGGGGGCACCTGAAGGAAGAGTAAAAAAATTTTAAAACCATAAAAGTTGTAAAACTACTAATTGGCCCACTTTTTTGCCCCTGGCGGGAAAAAAGTATTCGGTAATTTAACTTTTGGTATAGCACTTTCTTCTCCATTAAGTTAAGACCGCAATTTTTTTAGACCCTAAAGTCGAGGAGAACGAGATTCCATTTAAAAGAGTTCATTATTTGAAAAATATTTGTCCATTCTTCTTTGCAGACAAATCAAAATCTAATGTGGACAAATGAATTGTTTTTTAATGAGATATTGTCGTGTTTATTTAAAATCATGACTTACAGTTAAGAAAAATAGTGTCGGATGTGAGTTTTAGGGGGTGTAGTCAATTAGGAATTTGAGAGATTTTAATGGATTTATAAATTCATGAGTTTTTATAGAGTTTAACTGATTTGTAGAGATTCCATATAAAATTTTGATTCAATTCCCTCGAAATTTCATGGTGAGAGATGAGATTTGTGGATGCTTAAAATACACTACAAAATCTCTCTAATTTCTTATAATTCCTGAACTTTTCCAAATTCTTTAAATTTAAATTCTAATTAAATACATGAGAAATGTTATAAACTCAAAGTAGGTTGCTTTAAATGGTGAGAGATGAGATTTGTGGATGCTTAAAATACATTACATCCATCTGGGGTATGTTTATTTGATGTCTCTTTCACTTTGATATCTGTAAATAACTTTTATTTAAGCGTTTTCCGTCTTAAATGTTGGTCTTACCAACATTATCCTTGGATTGAAGATTATATATCTCAAAGTAGGTTGAGTGACACAAGTAATCAAAACCATCTAGCTTTTTGAATCCTTTTGTATAGATTTTGTCCTCGACTCATTCCTATAAATAATAGGTGTGGCTAGCGTAAACCTTAAATATTCTTTTTTAGCCGCCATGGTCACTAGAGTAAGGCTGTGAACGATAGAAATTCTCTTCCGAACCTCGCAAAGCGGGGAGCCTTGTTGGCTGGTCGCCCATGGCCACTGGAATGAAACTTTTAACTTCATTACTTAGCCAAACTCTTTTTCAGTTCTCACGTCATTGAACCGTTGTTTTGTTCAGGTTACCGCAGTAGGAGGTTACGGTGGTCTTGTGGATGTTATTTCGCAGTTCGGAAGCCACTTGTGCACATTCGGCTGCCGATGCGTTTAGGAAGAGTTCACTTGCCTTCTGCTGTTTTAAGGGGGCACTTGAAGGAAGAGTAAAAGAATTTTAAAACCATCAAAGTTGTAAAACTACTAATTGGCCCACTTTTTTGCCCCTGGCGGGAAAAAAGCATTCGGACAGTAAAAGTCGTAACATGTAATTTAACTTTTGGTATGGTACTTTCTTCTCCATTAAGGGATTAAGACCGCAATTTTTTTAGACCCTAAAGTCGAGGAGAACAAGATTCCATTTAAAGGAGTTAATTATTTGAAAAATATTTGTCCGTTCTTCTTTGCAGACAAATCAAAATTTAATGTGGACAAATGAATTGTTTTTTAATGAGATATTGTCGTGTTTATTTAAAACTGTGACTTACAATTAAGAAAAATAGTGTCGGATGTGAGTTTTAGGGAGTGTAGTTAATTAGGAATTTGAGAGATTTTAATGAAATTTATAAATTCATGAATTTTTATGGAGTTTAACTGATTTGTAGAGATTCCATATAAAATTTTGATTTAATTCTTTCGAAATCTCATGGTGAGAGGTGAGATTTATAGATGCTTAAAATACACTACAAAATCTCTCTAATTTCTTATAATTCCTCAACTTTTCCAAATTCTTTAAATTTAAATTCTAATTAAATACACTAGAAATGTTATAAACTCTTTTAAAATTATAATTGAATACATCCGGAATTTTAAGGATTTTAATAAATTATCTTAAAATGCTGATTGAATACACATCAAATTTTAGAAAGTCACTTAAAATCCTAATTGAATACCTCTGAATTATTTAAAAGAATTAAAATTTCAATTGAATACATCTCCTTATTTTATTTTGTACGATTTCAAAACAATTTCGACTGGGCCTAATTTTTTTCTTTTGCGGCCCATAAACACGTGCAGATATGTTTGAGCGTGTAAGAGTCCGTTATATTCTCCTATTCCACTCCTGCTAATGGGTACCCGCCACGTACCCGGATGGAATCTGGACTGGAGGGACGCGAAGACCATACACAAACCCTCACTCGCTGAGTTTTCACTCATCAATCATCATCCGCCCAACCCCTCTCTCTCTCTCTCGCTTTCTCCCTCGCGCAATCCTCAACTCCGCGGCTTAGATCCGAGGAGTTTGGGAAACCCTAATTTCCAGAAAACCAGCACAAAGCTCTCTTCCGACGCTCTCTCTCTCTCTCTCTCTCTCTCTCCTCGCCTTCAACTTTCTCACTCATCACTCGCAGGTTTTCCTTTCACACCTTTTCGCTTTTATCTTTTGCACTCGTGCGGTTGTTCGATCCGGTTCTCTCTGTTTTTTTTTTTTCGCAATTTTTGTTGCCGAAATTGGTAGATTCTGAATCGGTTTCTGTTCGTTGATGTTGATTTCTTGTGTGTGTGTGTTTTTTTTTGTTTGATTTAATTTTGCTAAAATTTGAGTAGCATAATTTTTTGCTTTTTTTAATTGTTTTAAGATTTTTAGATTTGAGAATTTATTGTAGATAAATCTTGTCGTTCGTGCTGTTCATATATTTTGGTGTGAATCTTTGCGTTTCGTGAGGCAACCATGGAGGAATTTTGAAATCTGAGACAATTTTTTGATTCAAAATAGCGTGACGATGGGATTATTTGGAGAATTAAGTGTCTTTGAATGGCTGTCTGCACAGGTTGAGAAGATTCGTGGCGTTGTTTAAATATGTTTTTGTTGTAATTTTGCAGTCATGGCAGCAGCACCTGAAGGATCGCAATTTGACACTCGTCAGTATGATACCAAAATGAGCGAAATGTAAGAATTCTATCGTTTTATACTTTTTAACTGTCTGTTTAGGTCTTTACAAATACTGCTTTTGAATGTCGTGGTTAAGTGTTTATTTTGCCCATTTTTTCTTTATTATGTGGTTTAATGTAATTTGTCAGATCAAATTGGGATCTAAGTGTTTCTCTCGTGTTTGGTGAATTGTTTGCTGCAGACTTGCAACTGATCAGCAGGAATTCTTTACATCGTATGATGAAGTTTATGATAGTTTTGATGCTATGGGTCTTCAAGAGAATCTTCTGAGGGGAATCTATGCTTACGGTATACACAACTAGCCTTTACTTTTTTCCCTCTTTTTATTTGGTTATGTATATATTATGATATCAGGAAAAGTTGTGGAACTGGTGTACTTTAATGTCTTCATGAAGTTTTCAATTTGTCTTCTGTATTTTCTCTGGACTGGTGGAAGATTGAATGAATGGCAATTCTTTCTGCAGGTTTTGAAAAGCCCTCGGCTATTCAGCAAAGAGGAATTGTTCCCTTCTGCAAGGGTCTTGATGTGATTCAACAGGCTCAGTCTGGAACTGGAAAGACAGCGACTTTCTGTTCTGGTATTCTTCAACAGCTTGATTATAGTTTGACGGAATGCCAAGCCTTGGTTCTTGCACCCACTCGAGAGCTTGCTCAACAGATTGAGAAGGTTATGAGGGCTCTTGGAGATTATCTAGGTGTGAGGGTGCATGCTTGTGTTGGTGGAACTAGTGTCCGTGAGGACCAACGCATTCTGTCAAATGGAGTTCATGTTGTTGTTGGAACTCCAGGTCGTGTTTTTGACATGCTTAGAAGGCAGTCACTTCGTCCTGATAGCATCAAGATGTTTGTTTTGGATGAGGCTGATGAAATGCTTTCCCGTGGTTTCAAGGATCAGGTCTGTTTTCAACTTAATTATGTCCATTTGTTTTATGAGTTCCATGATTTTTGTGGATGCATTATGTTCTGAATAATGATGTTTTACGTAAATATTGGACTCCTCATGTGCAATGATGAAACAATAAATAGTATATCTTGTGACTAAGTAGTACTCTGCCCAGTTGTTGGGTAGGAAAAATCTTGCAACTGTAGCCTAATATTCCTTTCGACTTCTCATGTTTCTGCTTACCGGGCTTTTTAGAAATATCCATTTAAATTTCGGAATGTGAAATATGTTGAGTAGTTGAGCTGTCTTCATGTTCTATGTAGATACTTTCACTTTGTATGCATGATTGTAATGCAGCGAGTAACTGTAGTTTGCTCCACCAGTATGTTGCTTTATTATTTGACCTGGGCTACTTTGAGATATGCCGTCCATTTGATTTCCTTTTGATTTCCTGAAATCAACACAAATTTGTAATTAAAATTTTATATATCTAATACAAATTTTGTTTGGGATCCAGATCTATGACATATTCCAGCTTCTTCCATCAAAGATTCAGGTTGGTGTGTTCTCTGCCACAATGCCACCTGAGGCCCTCGAGATCACAAGGAAGTTCATGAACAAACCCGTGAGGATTCTTGTGAAGCGTGATGAACTCACCCTGGAAGGTATAAAGCAATTCTATGTCAATGTCGACAAGGAGGAATGGAAGCTTGAGACTCTTTGCGATCTGTATGAGACCTTGGCTATTACCCAGAGTGTCATTTTTGTTAATACTCGACGCAAGGTTGACTGGTTGACTGACAAGATGAGGAGCCGAGACCATACAGTTTCTGCCACCCATGGAGACATGGACCAGAACACCAGAGACATCATCATGCGAGAGTTTCGTTCTGGATCATCTCGTGTCTTGATCACCACTGATCTTTTGGCTCGTGGTATTGATGTTCAGCAAGTCTCCCTAGTTATTAACTATGATCTGCCCACCCAGCCCGAGAACTACCTTCACAGAATTGGTCGTAGTGGACGTTTTGGAAGGAAGGGTGTTGCAATCAACTTCGTAACAAAGGATGATGAGAGGATGCTGTTTGACATCCAGAAGTTCTATAACGTGGTTGTGGAGGAGCTGCCATCAAACGTCGCGGATCTTCTGTGAAGAGATTTTGTCTTCTTAATTACCCAAGGAAAAAGCCGGTATCTGCGTAGTAAGTGTTGCTTTGTATTGAAGTTTATTTTCTGTTTTTCGTCCTTTGAGCCCTCCACATCCCCCCACCATTTTGTGTCGTCTCTTATATTATTTAGGATCTAGTTACTTAATTTATGGTTGTTGGATTAATATTTAAGTGGTACAAGTTAAAAATTGCAATGTGAAAACCATCGTTGCCTGAATTGTTTGTGGTGGCCACTCTGTTGTTGCATACTTTCTACCTACTAATGTTATTAATGTATGTATTCTTTTGAGGTATGCATTTTTCTTGTGCTTTTAATTTGGTTTTGAATGTTCTTTATACCCTTGGATGAGAGCAACTTACATGACACGGTATATTGCCACAATGGCATCCTGCAGTAATAATACAATGCCATGTCGAGAGAAACATGCACATGTTGTCGTTTCATTGGCATAGAATGCCAGTGTCGGTATACTCGTGTCATGAAAGTCTTAGTATTGGTTGTAGTGATGACTACCAAGTAGTACAATTTATGTGATAATAATGTATGGTCAAAGCTGGTTGGGATAATAATTGTATGACACCAATTGGCTCTTTACATGCGAGGAGTCGTTTCTCTTTTATTTCAAATCACAGTGTAACACGTGCAAATAGAAAGCGTTTTCTTTGTTTTCTTACGGAGGAAGAAAGAAAAGTTTCTGTGAAAAAATGCCTTTTGCTTAATGCTTTGGCATCCTCTTTTTTCCTCGTTTATTTAAGGAAGAAGGCTGTTGGTTAGTCGTTAAGCTTTACTATGATGGTGGAGTCAACACCTAGTTTTTAGGTTCGGCCTTTTAAATATGCTTCTTACAGCATTTCCATCCTTCTTGGTGGATTTAGATCTAGCATCTAGGATGTCAATTTTGTATAATTCCACTATTTTATATGCTTAAACGCATTCCCTCGTGCACCTGATGCCTCGTATAATTCAGCTATTATATATGCTTAAAAGTATTTCCTCATGGGCTGTGGGTCTACTGTCCCTTAAGTATGTGTTTCCTACATGTCTCATCTCTAATTGTTGGGTCTGCTGCCCCATAAGTACGTGTCTCGTATAATTCAACTATGATATAATTTTGTATAATTCAACTATTATATATGCTTAAAAGTATTCCCCCATGCACCTGATGTCTTGTATATAATTATCGCACAGATAAAAATAATTTAAAATAAGTCACTAATAATGCCATGTGACTATATTTGTAGAGTATTGATGTGGGAAGTTAAACATATGATTCGGTATTTAAAGGAAAAAAATAATTAAAATAGCTGGTGAAAATTTTTCATTTTTTTTCTTTTAATTTTTCCTGATTTTAATATTTTATGTAGTAATAAAATTATTGCTATAGAAAATAAAATAACCGTTGGATTAAAGTGAGAATTTGAATTGGACATCTAACATTACAGCATGTGTCAAGTGACACACCCCGACCTAGATCGAGGCATGCTGACCGTCATGTGAGGATGATGTAATCATGTGCACAGTGCAGAAGCAATATTAATATAAGGAATGCGAATAAAAAAAAACCAAACCAACTAGAGTACTAGATAAGATAAGGTGCAAGTGCGATATTAAGTGTGATTGCACAACCAAAGCATAAGTAGCCTAAGTGCAGTCCAGCAGGACGAATACTAATTATACAACACCCAAAGGTGATCCTACATTGGTGATAATCTGTCATAACCTCCGTCAAATCCTCGTAAGCCACCAACACGCACTCCTACCTAAAACCTGGAGGGACGCAAAACAGAAAGCGTGAGTGGGCAAAAACAAAGCTTTCAAAACCATTTCAACATCAAAGATAGTAACCCTTCACCGTAAAACATGTATAATTTCCCAAAAATAGAATATATACATATCTCAAAACCATGCTTAAAATAGTAATATTCAAAAGTATGCCATGCCAAATATCTCAAAATAATAGAATGAGTAACTTAGGTGAAATAACTCATGAGAAATAACATATTAGCCGGATCCACCTAAAGTGGCATGTACGGCTGAATCCATAGCTCAACAAGTATGTCTGCACACGAGTCGGAACCACCCATAGTGGTCTGTACGACATGACTAGGTGTAAATAAATACGCTCAAGTGCTACGATCACGTGAAGACTGAGCGAATAATTATGGGTCACCTATGAGTCGGAACCACCTAAAGTGGTCGGTACGACAGAACTGTGCACCTAACTTGGATCCAAGGTGAGCATATGGTGCGGGAGGTAAACATCACGTGAAGGACTGTGCCCTAACCACGGGTGGGAGCACTAACACCGGGGTGCAGGTTAATGAGCTCTCAACACATCTCACATAATCATCAATTCACAATAACAATCTACAACTTACCTGGTACTTACCTGAGTATCCACAACGTCAAATCACATTTATACATACTATACTAATTCATAGTCTAAGCATAAACCAATAGACATGACATTTCAAAACATAATTTCATTTAAACACATTTTCTGGGAAAAATACCAAGTATATAAGTATATACTGAAAACCAAAAGCCCACTCACTGATATGTGGAAGGGTCGTAGCCCCCAAGTCTCGCTTGATTATACTCGTCATCTGGATAGGTCTCACCTATATGCGAAACAACTATTTAAACGTTATTTTAGAGCACATAACCAAAAGTAGGTAATAACTTCTCATACATTGCTCATTTAGGGTATTTGAATATACCATCGTGATCTACTCAACCCCATGAGCAACCCCATATTTTTAGAAAAAAATTTCGATCACCCACGCGTCGGCCATGCGTAGGGACGTGTTTGGCACACCAAACGGAATAGTTAATGCCGTTAGGGAATATTCCGTAAAAAATCAACATATACCGTTATATTTACCTGACGACGTTAAGAATATTCTATCAAAATTGACAGAATATGCTCCTTCTCCTTCCTTGGTTTGCCGGAGTCCGGCGCCGGCCACCGCTGCGTGCGCCGGTTTCTGGAAAAACTTTAAAGCTTCATATCTCACTCATTTTTCCACCAAATTCTGTGAAATTTGTACCAAAATGAAGTTTAGGATGAGAATAACACATTCTTACCGCTTTAAGGTCCTAAAACCAACAGAATCTCGCCAGAAAAATTTGAGGAAACCGGCAAAACCCTGCAACTATATAAACCCAAACGTTCTAACGTCAAAACCACTCCAAAATCGATCCAACGTGCTAGTAAAGCAAGAATAGAACCTTCTTAAGTCTCAAAATTACCTGAAACCTTCACGATCACGTCGAGTGAACAATGCACCTCACCGGAGCTTGCGAGTTTCTAGGGTTTTCGAGGTCCAACCTCCAACTAATGGTATGGCTCTATTCCTAAGTTTGCAATGGACTTGAAAACAACAACCACAACCTTGATTCGTGCATGAATGAGCTGGATGAAGACTTGACCATATAGTTGTACGGAAATGGAAGAAAACTCGAAAGGGAAGGAGAGAGAGAGAGTCAACAGTTGTGAGTGTGTGTGTGTGTGGTCCAGATTTGGTCACCAAACAAAACTAACAAATGACTTAAGTTCCAAATGCTTAAGAATGAAAAAGATTGGTCCAAATCCAAAGCTTAAACCAAACAACACAACTCAACGATTAAAGGGCATAAAAGTCATTTCACACCATCAATAAAATATTTTAAGACAGGCTGTCACATCAAGTGAAGCCTAGCCGATCGTTGTGATGGACATTGGATGCTTAGATTCTGTCGTGCCACTCTCCGAATTAGGCGCGTGTCGCTCACACACTTGTGCAACAAGAATTTAAAGGCCCCACCGAAGCCAGCACCATGAATTTGGGCTTAGACTCATAATCGACATCAGCTATGGCAGGCCAAAATGGGTGTAGTTATATTTTGGGTTGAATTAGAAATCAAGCCATGTAAATTTAGCGTTGGTGAAAATGCTTTTAAAACCGCTTCTTTGACCCTAGTACGAAACGACAACGACATCGTCGCGTTTTGATTTCACATGTACCTCACCCTTTTGTCGCTTTCTCTCGTAGTCTTACGGGTGACGTTAACTATAGTCATTAGGACTAAAGCTTCTGCTAATCTATCTTTGGCCAAGTGTAAAGCATGATTAGTGGCACAATATTTTTTATATATCCACTTGCATCATGTAATCAACAGTACGATTTTTTTAATCAAGTTGACTTGTGAAAACAGCATTTGTAAATAAATAGAATGTTCAAGTGATTAGTCACTTGTCACTAGTATTTCATTTTATTTTTTATTTTTTATTCGTAAATAAAAGATTTTAAGTATAATTTACTTACATATCGTTCGACGACTAATTATCATGATCATTCTTTATGTGGCTCTGATCTAACCCACACCCCATATACCAAACCTTAAAATGAAATACAAATGTCGTTGTCCTAAGACCGTGATTAGTTAAAGTAAAAAACTATTTGACCCTTAAATTACAAATCTCAATTTAACAAAAGAAAACGTTTCGAATGTGTTTAAATTATGATTGAACTAAACTGTAATGCTAAGTAACTTTAGAAAAATATCTTAGATAGAGAAAACAGTGGATAGAACTACATGGTAGGAGGAATCTCACTTTGAATGAGATTAAATCTACTACAACAAAAATTCTTGAGTACTCTGGAGTACCAGATACTCCAATATTTCAACTGTTAAATCTCAAATTTTATGTTCTTAAACAAAAATAAAATCCAACAGTTAAAATCCATTAAAATACCGAATACTCCGAAGCACGCAGAAAATTTCCATAATAAGAAGGGTCTCTTGCTAGGAGGTGTAAAAACATAGTCCGACATCCCTTCACAAATATTTATCTCATCCCATGTTGTACTTTCCCATATAATATTTATCTCATCCCATGTTGTACTTTCCCATATAATTATAAAAAGTACCTAAAAATCAGCATCTTATTATCCAATTAGATGCTAACCAAAGCTAAGCTTAAGCTAATTTGGGTTGGGAGGTAGCGGGAGCCGAGGAAAGGAAGGCAAGGACCGGGAAGCGGTTTGTATGCGGAAAGCTCCACGGGAAGAGGTCTGCATCTTCTTCCCCCTCCCTATCCCTCTCCCTCTGTCACACTCTTACAGGACGACATAGTTTTTGGTTAAACGCCAAAACCATCACACCATTTCCCCAAGCGGCCGCTTGTCGTTTCTCCGCCTCCTACCGCCCCTCCTCCCTCTCTGACATCATCGCTTCGTCAACATACCTGCAATCGTCACCGTCTCTCTCTCTCTCCCCTCTGTGTTTTTTTGTCGCTTTTTATATAAAGACCGCTCAACTTCCCATTCATTCATCGCCACTACGCGAATTTTCTCGCTCCCCCATTTCTTCCTCTATCTTTTTTTCCATCTGAAATTTCTCTCTCTCCTCTCTCTCTCCATGAATTCTCTGGAATCCGAATCATAAAGATTATCTGAAGTCTCTCTCTGTTCACCTCTCTGAGTGTGTATATATATAGATTACATATATTTGCTATTGTTTCATGGAGATTGCGGATTCGCCTGAGGCAGTAGCCACCGCAGGCGCCACCACGAGCCCCCGCGCAGACCCAGATCTCAACCAAACGCTACGCCGCAGACCCTCAGCCGCCACCGTGGCGGAATTCGACTCGAACGCGAACCAGGACGGCAATTCCTTGAACGATTTGGTTAGAGACCCGGTGAGTGATGACTTGGTTGGCGCCAAAATCTGCGACGCCGGCGATGCCGGTCGTATTGGAGGCTCTGACGGCTCGGCGGAGTCTGTCAATGCTGTTCAAGACAAGAAGGGACTCGGGGAGAATGATCGGGCCGTTGATCCCTCCGCCGCGAAATTCACGTATCGGCCGTCCGTCCCTGCTCATCGGAGAGTTAAGGAGAGCCCTCTCAGCTCTGATGCCATCTTCAGACAGGTATTTAAGCCTTGCGTAGCTTAATTTCACTTCTAATTAGTGCCACTAATTCATGATTAATTATCAGTAATGAAAATGTGTTTGCTGGGAACAAGTTTTTGTCTTTTAGCTTTCACTGAAGCTTGAACGAGATGCTGATTGCAAGCTTTGATCTTTTTTGTTTTTTTTTTTTTGTGTATTTTTGAAGAGCCATGCAGGTCTCTTCAATCTGTGTATAGTAGTACTTGTTGCTGTAAACAGCCGGCTTATCATCGAGAATTTAATGAAGGTTTGCCATGTGCCCGTGTCCATTGTTTTTCGATTAATTTTACACCGTCTGGTTGTTCGTGTTTCCCTTGTAAATTACGACCATTTAGAGATTTCTTACTGTTCAATTATTGTTGCAGTATGGATGGTTAATTAAAACTGGTTTTTGGTTTAGTTCAAGATCATTGCGCGATTGGCCACTTCTTATGTGCTGGTAATATTTCCTTTCATTATGGTTTGATATGCTGTTTTGTTAAAGAATTACTTAATTATTGTTACCATCTTCGAATTACAAGTGATGGGATATTTATTCGGCTCCTCTTTTCTTTCACTTGCAGCCTTACTCTTCCTATATTTCCCCTTGCGGCCTTTGTAGTTGAGAAGTTAGCGCTACAGAAGTGTATATCTGAAGCTGTGAGCAACTCGTTTTGTACTACTTAAAAAAAAAATAGCTTCCCGCAACTCTGTATCTGAAATATGAATTTCTGGTCTGGCATTGTAGGCTGTTGTTTCTCTTCATATAGTCATTACCACAACTTCAATCTTGTATCCGGTTTTGGTGATTCTCAGGTCAGTTTGAACTTATTATCAAGTTTCCATTTAGTTGCATTCCCACAGTTTTTTGGTATCAGTCGGTGAAACTATTTATTACATTTTGACCATGGTGCTGATTGGAGGATTTAGGTTTGAACTATCACTGTTACATTCTCGTTTCTAGCCCATTACTTGTGTTTAAGTGCTATTCATTTATTAGCGTATTTTCTGGATTTACAATCTTGGTTACTACTCTGGAATGCTACGTTGTCCACAGTTCTTGAAATAGGCTTGTTTTTGTGGAGATCTTAGAAACTTCATGGGATAAATTCTTAAGCTGAAATTGACATTGGATGGTAGTTCTGTCTGAAAGATTGTGTGTATATGTAATAGGAGAGGCCCTTTTTTATTTGGTTGATGGCATCTTTTAGTTGGCTAATATGTGAATAGCAGCGAAAATGTTGCATTTATTTGATTTACTTCATTTTCTCCAGGTGTGATTCTGCAGTTTTATCTGGTGTTACTTTGATGCTCTTTGCTTGCATCGTGTGGTTAAAACTCGTATCTTTTGTGCATACAAACTATGATATGAGAGCACTTCACAAAGCAGTTGAGAAGGTAGCTATGAACTTGTGAATAAGTTTTTCAGTTAACAGTGAATATAGTCTTTTCCTTTGCCGCTTTAAATTAAATATGAAGTTTGATGAAAGTTTGTAAAGGTTCTAAATCTTAGTAGATGTTTAATTTGCTTCAACAATTTTTTCTTAATAAATGTTTTCTAATTCTTTAAGTCCTTTGACTGATTGCAGGGGGATGCCACACCTAGTTCTCTGAATACAGATTACCCTCATAATAACAACTTAAAAAGTTTGGCATACTTTATGGTCGCTCCAACATTATGTTACCAGGTAATTGCATTACTCTTTTAGAAATTAACCTAGGTTTTCTTATCCGTCAATCAATCCTTATTCAGAAAGTATAAGTTTATGAATTTTGATGCTTTAGTCTGTTTAAGTCACCTTTTCTTTTATGTTGTTTGCCTTTCCTTTGCCTGTTTTATGGCTTTTAATTACAAACTGAACAAATATTTTGCCTCAGTTATAGACTGTCATGCGGTCACTTAAACTTCATAGCTGCTCCAACCTGGTGTTGTGAGTTTTCCCGTTACAAGTTTGAATTCTGCTCAAACTTTCTTTATAACTCTTATATCTTTCACATGACTCATTATTGTTTCAGTAATATGTATGTCTAAGATGACTAAATTATTTTTTCTCATTTTAAATATGATTATTTTCTTACAGTATTATTGGCACCCCTAATTAAAAGAAAGCTAATTTTGATGTATAGATAACTCATAACTTAATCTTTAATGTATGGTTCCTATCTTATGAGGTTAACTTTTAAATTACACTTAATCTTTAATTATGGTTCTTATCTTATGAGGTTAACTTTTACGTTACATCATTAATGGAGAAATGAATTTAATTTGATTTATCTGACCCTTATTTCAGACTAGTTACCCTCGCACAGCTTCTGTGCGAAAAGGTTGGGTGTTTCGTCAACTTGTGAAGTTGATAATTTTTACTGGAGTGATGGGATTTATAGTAGAACAAGTAAGTTGGCATTTGTTGTTTTCGACTAGGTTTTAGTGCTCTTTTATTTTGTTGTGATTATTGATGAATTTATAAACCTGTTTATTTATGCAGTACATCAACCCTATTGTCAAGAATTCACAACATCCTTTGAAGGGGGACTGGTTATATGCCATAGAGAGGGTTTTGAAGCTTTCAGTTCCCAATTTATATGTGTGGCTATGCATGTTCTATTGTTTTTTCCATCTCTGGTACGTCTTGCTTCATCCCCTATCTTTCAGTTCCCAATTTATATGTGTAGCTATACTAAGTTTGCACTTTTTGAGTTTATGCTTACATCCACTGTTAGAAATATAGGTTAAATATTCTTGCTGAGCTGCTTTGTTTTGGAGATCGGGAGTTCTATAAAGATTGGTGGAATGCACAAACTGTTGAGGAGGTGCGTTTTATGTTTATGCAATTTATTCTTAGGTTATGTTATTACGGCTCTGAATTGAAATTTTTTACTATTTACTTTTGTTGCATGGCTCTTCTGGTGGCTGTCATCAGTATTGGAGAATGTGGAATATGGTATGTCTGTTGAACTCTAATTCAGTTGTTATCTTTTCTCATATACTTAAAAGTACTATGATAAATTATTATTTTGACTTCTATTCGATATTCATTTTGAATCTAGGTTGCTTATTGGACTGTAGTGAATGTGGTTCTTAATGTGTTCGAATTTGCATCAGACAATATGTGCATTAGCATTATCATTAATAAGCCTTGTAACTTATAAGCCTGAAAAGAGGCTATATAAGCCTAATTTCCTTGTCATCAAAGTTGCCATGTAGTGACAAAACTCAGTTAGATGGTATCTGATGTTTACTTTGTTTACATTTTACAATGATAACAACACCCCCCCCTCCCCCTCTTTTCCTATCTCGCCTTATTCACGAGGCAACTGAATGAAGTGTAGACTTAAGAAGCAAGAGCGCTTGTGGTCTTGTAGTTCTCATTTATGCTAATGCCCGAGTGAAAGTGTAATACTGATTGGGTGTATTCATTTCAGCCTGTTCATAAATGGATGGTTCGCCATATCTATTTTCCATGCATACGGCATGGAGTACCCAAGGTATCTAATATCTCTTTATTTTAATATTAAGTGATGCGTGATGGACGAACTTTAATTTGTTTTAGACTGTAGAAAATTAATTTGTTTTTTTGTTCTTGCTTTGAATTCAGGGAGTTGCCATCGTAATCTCCTTTCTAGTATCTGCTGTATTTCATGAGGTATATTGCTCTGTTTCTGTGAGTTTTTGTTGTTATTTAGTGATCCTCTCCCTTTGGATTATGACTATTCTATCGCTCCTTCCTTCATCATATTCTGTTGTCTATAATATAATTAGCATTCTCTCTCTTTGGAACGTGAGTGTTGGTAGGACTTGAAACTGATAACTTTGGAAGCATGTCAGTAGAAACAAGCGAATCATCATCTTAGTATCTAACCAAGACTTAGCTGTTTAGGCGTACATCATCCAGGAATGTGTACACTTGGTAATTTGCTTGATACAGTAATTGCTATCAAGCACAACCTTGAAGGACCATCACCCACTCCGTTTACTGATCACCCACTCCGTTTACCTTACAAGAGTAGAATACCCATACACATAAGAATGAATTCTGATGCCAGGACATGGGTAATGGCAATACGAACTATTTACATTTGATTTTGGCCAATAGCTAAAGACTACGTTCGAGCATGGAAATATATAATTATATTAAATACAGAGCTCCTCATCATGATCACCAACGCAAACTCCACATGAAACATTATCTGGGGGTCAGCCGAAATATTTCTCCCTTTTGTTTTATGCCTTACTCGGATCTGAATTCTCATGGCTTGTTTCTATAATGAAGCTTGCATAGCTGTTTGTGTTTCTATTATCTTATCCAATATTGTTCGACTCGTCTCCAGCTATGCATAGCTGTTCCCTGCCACATATTCAAGTTGTGGGCTTTTATTGGAATTATGTTGCAGGTAAGAACATTGTAGTTTCCTTGCCACATTTAGGAGTCCTACTCATATTGATGATCAATCTGTCCTAATTTTCTTTTATTGCGTTTTTGTACAGGTACCACTTGTCTTGATCACAAATTTCCTGCAAGATAAATTCAGAAACTCAATGGTATGTCCTTTTTTTTAAAACATGTTATTGTAGACATTGAAGAAAATTTCGTGTTTACAGTTATCTCATATTAGTGCAGCATAGTCTTGCCTACTCACTTGTTGGGGTTAGCCTTCTATTGAAAATTTAGGGCCCCGTTTGGTATTCAGCTTAAAACCTTTAATCATTCTTAAGAACAACTTAAACGAACTTCTCTTCAAAACAGTTTTTTTATTTTTTTGGCTTATTATATTAACACCCCATGAGCGGTAGGTCTCGGGTTCGAGACTTGGGAGCAGCCTCTCCATAAATGGGGGTAAGGCTAGCCGACATTCACCTCTCCCAGACCCTGCGTAAAGCGGGAGCCTTGTGCACTGGGTACGACCTTTTTTTATTATATTAACACCCCACAAATTATTGAATAAACCTCACATACTTAATACATCCCCACATTTGCTTTTTCAATTAATAATTATCTTAATGCACCCCATGTACTTCCCCATAATACTCTCACACCTTACATTCTCAATATAGACCTTACATTTTCTACATGCAACCCACATTTCTCAAATCTTATAAGCTTTTAATTTAGATAAAAAATGCCGACTGGAATTTTGACAAAAGATGATGCCTGGGATTTAAAGCATATGTGAGTTGTTTTCAATTCCACCATTAAAACTCATGTTGACTGTTTTTAATATTTAGTGATACTTTTAGGTGTTTAATTCTTCATGTAATATCTGTGATCCTTAAAAGATGAATACAAACATAGAAACTTGAATAACGCAACAAAAGTAAGATTAAATAACTATCGATGTCGTCAAAATCACTAAAACAATAAAAAATATGAAGTCTTACCTCACGGCGGAGTCAAATTGAAACACGAATCGACTCCCTGTGGACAGTGGGACCCAATCGACGCTGGCAGCGAAGATCACGAAGAGGGGGAGAGGAGAGAGAGGGTGAAGGTCGGGCTATAGAGTTTTGTGTTTGGAGGTGGTTGTGTTTAAAAACTTTAAAATGTTATTTAATCAAATGGAAAACTAATGAAAATAACTTGAAAACTTTGAGTTTTAACTATAAGAACAAAATAAAAGGTAAAGTGAATAGTATCATGATTGACATTTTAATGTAAAAATATGATTTTTCGTTAAAATAAACAGTATCGGGAGTTTTTCGTTAAAATTTCCTTGTTTTTAAGTCAGTCCTTAAATTCAGTTTTTAGAAATAGGCCAGGCAAACAAGAATTACAGTTTGGAACTCAAAACTTGTTTTCGAGTTATAAAAACTGTATTTGGATTGAATACCAAACCGGGTCTTAGTTTCTAGAGAGAATTAAAAACTTGGGGGCGGTCCTGCTGGAGGGATAGGGGTACAAGGCATCATGCTTGCATCCTTCTTACAAACTTCCATGTCCCACCTTTCCGTTTGTGGTTTCCAATTCGGCAATTCTACATATTAGAAAGTAAACTAGACGATCAAGAGTTCCTATAGCCCTTTTATGTTTTTACTAGTTCGGAGATTCTATTCGTGCTCTATGGATTGCTGAGGGCACATACTTTCTGTGTACGATTTCGATATTGGTAATGTTCATTATATTTCTTCTAACCGCATTTTTTGATCTTATTTCCAGGTCGGAAATATGATCTTCTGGTTCATCTTTTGCATCCTCGGTCAACCGATGTGCCTGCTTCTGTATTACCATGACTTGATGAATCGGAAGGGGCAACTCGAATGAAGTTTTGAGTCTCGTAAGTATGGATCGAATCGTTCTGGAAGCGGTGTTGCCTCACAAAATATGCCGGCTTTTATACTTTTGCCGAGGCAACTCAACTCATGCTGCTTCCTTTGGTTTCAACGTGTTCATCTTTTACATATTTTTGCTAATTCAATTGACTTTATATAAATCTTTTAAATATGTTTCACCCTGGTTTAGTTTTTTCTTTTCTTTTCCGGTATATATTTAGTTTTGGAAATTTGAAGAAATGGTGTCAACATCATCCTCCCTCCTTATATCTTGGGAATTTTAATGAAAAACTTCAAGTACTGTTTACTTTAATGAAAAGTCACATTTTTACACTAAAAAGTTAATCATGGTACTATTCACTTTATTTTTTATTTCGTTATTATCATTAAAATTTAAAGTTTTCAAATCATTTTCATTAGTTTTCCTTACATCCTTCCCCCACCAAACAACCAAATTAGTCAAGCTTAGATTTGACGCCAGCTGAAAAATGGAGGCGCGCTACTAGCTGGGCTTGCTTCACTTTTGTTGCACCAGCTCGCTGCTTTTCATTTTGTTAGTAGTAGGTGCTTGCCCTCTGTTGAGTTTGGGATGGGGGAAGAGAGCATTTTCATCACGAATGATTCAATCCGGCCATAGGTTCCCCTTCCGCTACCTTGTTACGACTTCACTCCTGTGGAGGACCGCACCGTGGTATGCACCAATAAGACCACCAAAGGCCTCTGTGGCACTAGTGTTATGTAGAAGTCATGGGTGATCATTGGATCGATGTTTAGGGCGAAACCAATTCCCAAGGTGTGACGAGTGGTGTGTGCAGGGCCCGGGTACATGTCACATTGAAAGGTCTAGATATCTAAATCTGGATGTGATGTGATTTCAATGTTATTTGTTCAATATCTTTTGCATACGACTAAGAAAAAGTTTACAGGTATCGAGTCACATTTTTTTAGCTAAAAACAGAAAAATCAATTAAAATCAGTATAGTGACCCAAAACCAGCCATAACAGAATTCTGAATGTCACAAAAAAAAGTTTCTAAATAATATTATTATTTACAACACAATGTTAAAAAAAAAGGCTGAAATTAATTTTTTTTTAAGAATTACATAAATTAAATATAACGGATAAAAGCTAGAATGATAAAAAAAAAAAAAAAGAATGACTGAAAATTAAAGTTTTTAGATAATTATAGATATTAAATATACGCCTGTTACTTTTATACTAGTAGGCAAAATCATATATTTTTTATTTTTAATTAAATCACATAACTATTTATTAAATTTGTATAATAATGTAATAAGGGCCACTGTCCTTGGTCACGAGATTCTCACTGAGCATTAGCATCAAGTGAAAAAACTCCGGACAAGAATTGTCTGCTTTCCTTGTTTTTGTACCCTTCTGTGCCTTTTTGTTTTGTGTGGTCACGGTTAAGCCACGTTAACATTATATATATATATTTTATAAAGATAATAAGATAAAAATAAATAATAATATAAAATATTAACGTGACTTAACCGTCATCATACAAACAAAACAGCACGGAAGGACACGGGAAAAAAGTGCAGACAATCCTTATCCACAACTCCAGCTCGTGGAAGATTCCAGTAGCAGTACACCATACATCCTAAATTCTAATAAATAATAAAGAAAATTAATGAAAAAAATATGAAAATTTTAAATTTTAATGAAAAAAATAAAATAAAATGTAAAGTATTAATTTTTTAATATAAAAATATAATTTATCGTAAAAATCATAGAGCTTCTCGTTAAAATTATTATAATAAAATCACCGACGAATGATCAGCATCTTGGTGGGAGTCAGCGCCGAAATAAAAAGGTAAATAATTGATATGCAAAATATCCACGACCCCCAACGAAGCTCCTTTGACTGTTTGGCTGAATACGCACAATCTCCACTGCACTGGAGCTCTTGGCTCCAGAGAGAGAGAGAGAGTGAGTGAGAGACAGTGAAGGTGGAGCTCATAGATCTTCGCGTGCTCCGTTGAAATCCTAGTGTCCTACCATGGAAGATTTCAGATCCAAATCGTGCGGCCACGGAAGAACGGAGGTGGAGACCTACAATGGCGGCAGCGGGTCGGCGGGACCCGCTTCGTCGGGGATCAATGGGATGCAGGATCTCAGGTGCTACAGCGCGTCCTACGCGTCCTCAGTGCACCCGCAGCAGCAAACCCAGGCGGGAAGCAACGGCGAGAAGTTCAGGAAGGGGAAGTCGGCGAACGGTTCGGTGACGAAGAGCTGGAGCTTGAGCGATCCGGAGCTGCGGAGGAAGAAGAGGGTGGCGAGCTATAAGGTTTATACGGTGGAAGGGAAGCTCAAAGGGTCGCTCCGGAAGAGCTTCCGGTGGCTCAAGGAAACTTGTAATAGAGTCGTCTATGGGCGGTGATCATCATTTCTGAGTATAATATTATATAAATTTGGTAAGAGTTATTTATTTATTTTTGGTTGTTTAATTTCTGCTTGGTGTTCTTAATTTATAAGATTATAGTGTTCGTGTTGGAAATTATGAAGTTTTAATGTGATTTGTTGATGAATATTTGTATACTGTGGATTTTTTGGTAATCTGAAATCATATCAATGAAATTTAAGCCTTTTTTGCTGGTTCATATTATTGGGTGTAATTTTGTTTTTAGACACAACTCGGTCCGACTAAAAACGTTTTTAGTGAAAATATTTTTGAAACCGATTCTTAGTTATAATGCAAGTGACTCCTGAAAAACACTTGACCTGTCACGTGTTTATGTACTTCTTGCAAAAAATACTTCAAGTCCTTTTGGAATCCGAAAATATTTTCATTAAAAGCACTCTACGACATTTTAAAAGAACTTTCAAACTTAGGGTTTTAACTTCTCATAACCCTCAACGAATGGGTGTGAATGAGGCTTCGAAATATGAATTCAGGGCTCGGTGTTTGCCAATGTCATGCATTTCGAATGGTTTCCGGTTCCCTCGTGAATGCAAACCCCTTGCCAAAATTGTTGTTCTTGAGAAAGATTTCCGGGAAAGTCGCAAAGAAATGGCGATAGAAACGCAGACCGAGTTGTCGAGTGGCAATGCGGAGTTTTCTGGATAGATTTTCTCGTATCAATTGAGCTCAGTTTGTCCAATTAGGTTGTTATTAAGGTTTTTCGACGTTATGGAAGTGGCTGGTTCTCACTTAAGATCAAACAATAGAGTAGAGAAGATATCTCCTTTAGGGTGTCGGACCTCATTTGCTAGTTCTGTTTCATGCTGTCGGAAACTTTGAAGTTTATCGCTGTTGCTTTAGCGTGTTAGAGCAGTCGGGCTGAGGATAACGGTTGTACGGTTTAGCGATGAATGTTCCGTGATTCTGCAGAGGATGGCCATTCTCTCATTTGTGCGTTGATGCATTGAGTGTGTTTTGGGGGAAATGGAAGAGGGCAGGCAACGTTGAGGGTTAAAGATGGCTGGCTTTCTGTTGTCATTGAGCTTTTGTAGAGTTTCCGTTTCGAGTTTTGGTAACGAGGCTGGTTAACGTGAGTAGTTTTCGGTATGAGAAATCCTGCTAAATCCGAAAAGGTAGAAGGCAAACGGCTTGGAGATGAGAGAAAACTATCATCGGTTGCGTACCCGTAGCTCTCTATCTCTCGATGTGGTATTCATCTCGTGACATGTAAGTTCTTCGCCTTCGGGAGACCCAAGTTCTCACAACGCAAGCATTAGAACCGATGCGTAAAATTTGGTCAGGCTCTGTCATGCATCGTGCAACCCTACTTAATAGATGTCTCTCCTTCCTGGCCTCGGAATTCCGCCGAGTTACTTTAGATTTGGGAGCAAAATGAAACATGCAGCTTCTAACCGTTCTTGAACAATTTGGTTAAACACACAAATAAGGGAGGGGAACATTTCTGTTTGAACAATTCTGTTATTTTTCTTTGGAAAACGAAAATTTACATTGTTCGTCACGCAAATGAATGTATCGTGTTAAAAGCACAAGTTAAAACAACAAACACTCGCAGCTCTCTTGCATATGGGGAAACAACGGAGTTCAAACGAAATCGCCTCCCTCGTACGGAGTCTCTCACCTTCGACGTATATTAAAACAGCCCAAGGCAAAACCATCGAATTTCGATTTACGGTAACCTGCAAGGGTCGGCATCGCTAATAATGAACCCTCTCTTCATTGTCTAAATGCAGACCTTCGATGCCTTTAAGGGTAGTCTCGTAGTTCCTAGTCTGAGATGTATGTCTCCGGGTGGGGTCCGATGACTCGACTGGTGAACTTCTTCGGCCACTTGAAATTCTGTGTCCTCCAGGGCTAGCATCGGTTGTTCGAGGGCGAATGTCAGACTCACTTCCGCCAAATGCATCACGGCTGCTAGAAACAGCAACTCTCCTTGATGATCCGGCTGACCGGCCAAACATGTTGCTATTTGACGTCTGCAAGGCCCAAGCATGCACATGAGATTTTTGTCGCAAGGCATTTAACACAGAATTATTCCTGTTGATACAACCCCGCAGAAATGATTTCATTTCATAAAATAATGCATTCCAAACAACTCACCTCTCTGGTTAATGAAGCATCATTCGCAATTGGATTCTTCTGCCTCGAAAGGCTCATGGAATTGAGAGCCGGTCCAGGTATTCTCCGCCGAGAGGAATCCAATGATGTTAGACCAGTTGGCCGCCCGTCTACCTCACCTACAAGGAAGCCGTGAAGCAGAATGTTATAAAATCCAAACCTAATAATATGGGAGAAATGACACCCAGATATCGGAAAACCTTTAGTAATAAGTTACAGCCCTCGAAAGTAAACAAAGAATTCCTTAAATTTATATATTAACATACAGACAGAAGTCATAAAATAAGCAAATAGGAGAAAAATGCATGTGGTAATCTAAAACACCACCATCCTCTAGCTGCAACGAATAGACTTATCGTAAGAATGCTGTTTAAATTCATCTAGACCAATCCTAAACAACGTACCTGTCAGTCTGTCCGCATTAACAGCAGCATGGGGCATCCCAGAACTTGTTCCAGCACCAGCAAGGGCACGGGTTGGAGGAACAGCCAGCTGTGATTGCTGATACTTCAAAATTGTCCAGTCAAACACATAATCAAACTGAAAGCCTGAAGCAAAACCCAATGGATACAATCAGTGTAAATAGAATGCCCACTGTAATGTGGAAATCCGCTAATAATGCTCATTGTAATGAGAATAGAATTCAAACCTTCA